TGCAGAATCTTTGACTTTAATGCAAGATACACGTTTAATACAACTGGATACAGCAATACAAATGGAATTATGGCAGGAAGCATACAGAAGTGCGGAAGATGTTCATGGTATGATGCAACTAAGCAAGGATAAAGATGAACGCATGGTTAAACCAGCAAGTTACGTCAATTACTATGATAAGGTCCTTTATTACTGTATTTAAAAACCTTCTAGCAAGGTCATCTAGTACTCATGGTACATACTAAATATTTCCATCCTATGAGCTTTTTGTTTCGAATCATTAAAGACATCTTTTATTCTATTGGAAAGTGATATGTTGTAGTTATTTCATTACATATGTTTTGTATCACATTTTTTTCCTGTTGGCAGTATTCAACCTGTGGGGGAATATTTAACTCCCAACAGGGGGATCGCACGCATCCCATTTCCTACCGTCAAAAAGGACGTCGAATTAAATTTCCACGATTATGCGTGGAACCGACCAAAAAAGAAAATATTGGCCATATATCTGGTTTCTGAGACACATATGTGTTTGCTTCGGTTAGGTATTTTTGACTTTGAAAAGGTAGGGATTTCACTATGACTGCAACAAACAACGTGTGTATCGTTCATTCACACGTCGAAATGCGGTGGTTGTGTACTTTACATTGATTCTGCTTACCACTGATATAGTGTATGTGCATATGTGACAGTCAAACAAACACTAAACATTTTCACATATTCAGTCAATCGAGGATATTACTTGAAGTTCAATTGATTATCTCGGCAGCAAATAATTTTCTAGCTAGTTGAGCAAAAAATGAGTGAGGAACAACAGTGAAATCTCTAAAATCTCGTTTATGTTTTGATTGGGTATGATTTTAGTAGAATGTCTTCAGTTTTTCATTTCCTATCATAATCTTAGTTAACTTCCAGTCCTATTATAATCTTAGTTAACTTCCAGTAATTTTCCCTGTTTTGATCCAGTTAGCAAAAAGTCTTCATCATTTCCAAAGGCTTTATAAGTAATTCATATTCATAAGTAAAATCAGTTTATATACCAACTTGATAGATTCTTGGAATTTTTACAAGAAAGTAATTAGTATTACATTTTAAAGCCAGATAAGTGGAAAAGTAGAACTGTAATAACCGCAATTCAATTCCGACTCTCATTCACAAAACGCTAGCTGAAAAAAAGATTTCTTTCAAGCTAATTTCTCTATCATCCTTTACTAAATGATAGAAAAGCAACAAATTGCAAAAAAATACGAAATTTAATCGCTACCTTTTTAAATAAACTGTAGCGCAATATTAGGACAAACTTACGGAGCTTTCAAAAAGTTCAGTAGTTCTATTAGAGCCTCTGTCGTTGCACCAGGAACTCTGGAAGACACATTTTAAATTGCTTTTCAATAAAAAGGAAACTTAGAATAACAGTATATCAAAACCTGGATGCTGCAGCAAGATTCTGAGGCCTCCAAAACTCCAAATTTTCTTTGCATTCGGCAGAAATACTATTCAATTTTGAATAATCAAAATTATCCGGAATAACAGTAGCGCATTCCTTGCGTATCTGCTCTATCTAAAAAACAGTAGCTCTTATACATTCAACCTAATAAAAAAATCAAATATTGGTTACTGAAATATATGAAGCTCTGGTATTAAAGTAAATAAATCCATTCATGATGATAATTTTCACACATTAATAATAAAGCGAAAAATAAGCGTTGTTAGATCTCAGCACCTTGACCATCTAACAACATGACAGCTTTTCAGCTCCTAATTTTTTCTTTTTTTGAGAAGATGAATGACGTGTTTAAAAATAAGTAAAAGTTCGGGAAACTTTAAAGTTAATTTTAATTCCAGTAAAATTCTCCGAAGTCCTGATCTGAATATATCTTTCCACCCCATACTACTTTCATAAAATGCCTGGACTTCAACAAAAATGCGTGTTCACATTTAAGAAGTTGGATATCAACCAGTGACGTAAAGATCAACCTGGAGCAACTATTACAGAGCAAAATAAATTATAAAGGTACACGCAGTCAAGCCAGTAACAACAGAAGAGCTACAACGATGGTCATTCTTTCTTTATATTGTAGTACTTATCTTTGCTAACGATTTATCTAGATAAAAATGATAAAATGCTTCAATCTTCAATCGATGCTCGATTTCATCATTTTCCAACAACCTTTCTAACTCAACAGGGGCTGCTTTTCGAATTTCCATGAAGTCTATTTCATAACGACATAATAAATCAAACGCACTGTATACTGCAAATAAAAATGTGATGCTTGTTTGAATAATTTTGAAAACCAGCAATAAAAGAATAGGTCAGAAATTTGCAAACCAAACAAAAACGTGTAAAAGATGAAATACGTCTCACTAAATGAAATAGTATGAAGACTTAAGTAATTATAATTATGTGTTTCCTCATGAAAATGTTGCTACTTTTTTCTCATAATTCATATTAACGTTCTGCTTTTAACCTTTTGTTGTTCGAGCATTTTCTAATCGAGGTATAAATTTTCTCCAGAAATTCATCGGATATTTGACGGATTTCAGCAAATCCCGCGTTTCATTATACGCAGATACCATTTTTAAGAAGTGATTATGTCGATGTTCGGATACAGCTCCATGTTGATAACCTTTCTCCGTTAACCTTATGTCCGCATTGTCTGGTCTGATAATAACAGTTTCATGAACCAATTGATTGAAATGCTCTAAATTAAGAGCAATTCCTAATTTCGTTTCCGGAATCAGAAAGACTATGAAGCCAACACAAGTTTCTTCTAAATAGCATTTTCAGTTATTTGGTTAAACAACGACAGAGGAATTAGGCTAGAACGGTATAACATTACCGCAAATGTAGTCTTAGTTCAGCTCTTGAAGTAAACATTCGGTATGGCTCTGAAGTGCCAAGACTGGTCAAATCATCAATCAATACACCAATATAACCTTCCGTCCTATCGATAACAAATGGTTTTTTATTTCGAGTTGACGCTGCGGCATTTATCCCAGCTACAATGCCTAAAATGAATAGCAGTGGATTGAGATAAGTGACATAAATAATAGATAATTTTTAAACACCATGACTTTTCCTCCAACAACAGCCAGTTAATCCTGTTCTACAAAGGAATGCTCAATAGCGTCAATAACTACCTTCAGCATTACCTTTTTGGACCCGAAACACGGAATTTCAAGTTTTCCCTTCATCAAAAACCTATCAGAAAATGATCCTGATGTCATGAAAATTTCTAGCATTCAGAATTGTTATAAAACTTAAAAGATGAAAAATAAGAAAAAAAGTGAGAAAATCGAATATCAAAAGAGAAAAAGCTAACTAAACGAACCCTGTGCTGCAGCTTCTTCATAACCCGTGGTGCCATTGATTTGTCCTGCGAGAAACAAACCTTCCACAGCTTTGGTTTGTAAAGTTGACTGAAGTTGCTTTGGATTAACATAATCATATTCAACGCCGTAGCCAGTCTCTGATATTTCGACATTTTCTAAACCTGGTATGCAACGATACACTTCCAGCTGCACTTCCGGTGCAAACGTCATCGACATACCTTGTGGATAAATTAAATCGGAATCTAGGCCTTCATGTTCCAAAAAAATCTGAAAAGCTTTTCTTTAGATTTTAATAAAAAAATTTAAAACGAAATTCTTCCGCATCAAGTCTATATTCCAGTGCCTTCGCTCTTATAAATTATGGTCAGACAATGGAGATACGTCTAGCAGTCTCCAATGTTTATTACCATTCATATATACTTATTCGCTTTCAAACAGTTTCTTTTAGAACTGAACTCAGCCATCACTCTTATTCCATCTAAATCTATCAAGCCAAATATTATGAAAATATGAAGACGAACCCTGTGGTTAAGATGAGGGAAGCGGATAACTTTTGATTCAAGAGATGGACAGTAACGCGGGCCATTTGCTTCGCTACGAATATAATTGCATTCATTGAAATGTTTAAGTATCACTTCGGCAAGGCGATTATTCGTAAAACCCAAATACGACGGTAACTAAATTTACACCAATTCAGCTTATAAATATAAGATTAAGCCAGCAGAAATGCAAAATAAATGAAAAAAAAATTTTCGCTAAATTTGTGTTCGTAACAAGAGCTTGAAATGACATTCAAAAAAATACTACGAACATAATGAAGTAAGCAGAAACGATTGTTAGGCTAACTTGCTGATGGTGAGGAAGCCAGACGTGCTCTGTTAAGAATGAAAATGGAATTGGTTTCCGGTCTGGAAGTTGAGGAGCAAACTTGCTAAAATCTATTGTTTTTTTAAATAGACGTGCTGGAGTGCCTGTACGAAAACGTCCCAGTTTGAAACCAAGTCTCTTGAAGGTTTCAGAAAGTTTCGAGTTAGCCTGCAAAATAGTTTAACAAGTTTACTGGTTCTGTTTTGAATATTTGGTTGCCAGAAACATCAAACTGAAGATCATAAAAAAGAGATGCAAAATCTTTGCATCCTGTCGCTTGAAGAATTAGAGAAATATTGGTGTTTGGTTAATATCGTAAAATTCTTATCCCCAAATTAATTTTATTTCCCTCTTATCATTCCCACTTATTTTTTATAAGAGCTTACAAATATAGCTTACAAAATGATGGAGATTTCCAGATGACAACATAATTTGATGAAGATTGTTAATATATATATATATATATATATATATATC